TTCCTTAAAAATCGACTGTTGCTTAGCAACAACCTTTTAATCAATTCCAAATRCTGTGACTGYGAGCGAAAAATTATATTTTAATGTTCAAAACAACTTTAGTTGATAATTCAAGAAGGAAAGTATTCAATATTTTAGATAAAAATGCTTAAGTATTTATCACGGGTGGATATTCTATTCTAGGAGGATATTATTAATTCATATACTACTCATATCGCTTTCTTATTCAAATTCACGAAACCAAATGCACTTGGCGACGAGTTACAGCAGACACACTTGGGAAATGAATATTTTTACCACACAAGTTTATATCTTAAAATTATATATTCAAGCTTCAAGATAAAAATCACATTTATCACTTTGAAATTCATCTACAATCTTTATTAGATGCATTCTGTGAATAATTTTCGAATTTCTAACTCCTACAACCCTCTAAAGAGACAATTTATGGCAGATGTTAAATGAATTACGTCGATTTTAAATGTTCCCCCGCCGTCTGAAATAAGGGTTGAAATTTCTGTGAATTTCACGCGACCGTGTACCAGGCTCACGCGAGGGGCTTTCATCACGAAATAGTGACGTTTTCCTTATCGCTGTAGAAGGGGGCCAATTTTTGTAATTCACAACCTAAATTATTTGGAATATGTAGATATGGTATTTAACGAAAGTAATATAACGGAATTATTTACAGATTTTCAGCTGGGTTGTGATTAGTCGAAAATGTGATAATCACAAATCAGCTATTCGGAAATGACAGTTTTGAGGGCATTGCACCATCGAAAGGAGAAGCGAAACATTTGTTGCATATGCAATCTTACAATTGTCTAGATTAACTTCGACTTGAAAGACTAGTCCACAATTTAATATTTCCTTAAACTTTTCGCACAGCTCTTAGAAAAAAGTCTACGCTATAACATATCTCAATGATCCAACAAAGATCAAGATTACAGGGAAGGATTTTTAGTAAAATTGCCATTACTTCGACTGTATAAATTGTCACCACTTCTCCTGTACAAAGTAGTTGCATAAATTTTAATACTGGCTTTGTTCTAAAGGTGACAACTKCGATATGTTTTTTTAAACACGTCGGACATTGACACCACGAAATTGTGTGGTAGTTTGAAATTCAAAGCCTTTTCAAGTTTCTTTCCAAATGTGCAACAATATAGTACACGAGTAAAGTTATTGATTTAATGAATAAAATCAAACAAGATTCGAGATGCACACTTTGTCAACAGTCTCTAGAGTATCTGTGTAAACGACTTTATATCATGTTAAGTAGTTATGACAAAACCTATCCAAATTAACTCCAGTTCATTGATGAACAACAAAAACATAGACATGCAGACTGCACTGATCACATATCATAAAGACCTGCACTGACCCTCTCACTCTGTTCCACAATGAAAACCCCTGGTTATATTGCCTTATTAACACGCACAAAGAAATCCAAAGACCCCTCAAGGTGCTTCATGGATTCAACTACCCAAGCAAGACCACACATTTGATATTAAGCCAGTCAAGCATGTCTCATTCTTGTTCAAATGTGGACTTTTGATTAGCTWTACACCACGGTTGACATGAAACACATTTTGGTTTTTCATGGCTTTGCAATTCAATAGATTACATGCAAGTTTGGCAAAGAAACAAAAGAGACGGATTGAATTTGAATTGAGTGAACCAAAGCTGTCGAAATTGACTGGTACTTACTTAATACAAAGAAAGTAACACAGGATACTGGTGGATGATTTGCATAAGACATGCACTCATCCATATCAGCACATGGTGGAGCACAACATTGTACAAGAAAGAAGCAAACTTCCATGCAATTTGTYCAAAAATACTTCCCAGAACTTTGCAATATAGCAATAACCACTAGCAACCATTGTAGGGATAAAAAATTCATGTGTGGTGAATTTGACATGTACAAATGATTTGTTCAACAGAAATAATTTAATTCACTTTATAAATACTGGGATGCAAAAATTAGCTAATAATTTTTCAATGTCAAAGAAGGAAATTACAAATACTATAGGCTTAACCAATGTGGGAGCAAAATCATCGCCTTTATACATGGATATTATACATTTTCTGACACYTAATTGTCACAGCTTGAAACAAATCAGTAGTCCTTACATTCAGTTAAATTCTTAGCATTTAGTTAACTAGAAAATCTGTATCTAGGTATCATATCTATTAATTTATCGCCTAGTAGAAAATACTGGAAATCTCTGTTATATTAATCTAGCATGAGTCTTACATTCCTATTGAAACAGTGCAGATTCAACATTGTAAAAGCCAAAAGGATATAACAATTTGAATCTACTGAAACTGAAGATTAGCTGAAGATACATTACCTCAATTTTTAGGCTTGATATATAATTTATAACATAATATACAGTATTTAAAATCCTACCACATTGCACACAAGTATGGTGGTATAATGTCACTTTGGATCTCCAAATCTTTTTGAAGCTTTCATTTTGTGATCTGTTCAACTTCATATCTGTAGCATTCATGGACTAGATGGCATTACCAATATTTCAAGAATATTCACAAACCATATTGTGCTCTTGCACTGCTACAAAGAGAGCTTGAAGTCTGCATCTAAAACTCTCTCATGATGTAAATTTTTGGTGTAGAGTAATCCCTGGATTTCATGTTGATGTTCTGAATGGGATCCAAGCTGAACTGTATGCTTGGCAAATTGGCCTCATTTCAACCCTTGATTTGGATTTTTACTTGATTCAGTTAAGGGGGYTGTTAGCAGAATCGAACTATTTCAGAACAATCTTCCTGACAATTCACCAACTGTCACTGGCGTATTTGTGATCATAGGTGATACAAGTTGTTCAAAATCAAAGTCAAATCCGCCATCTCCAATGTTTAGCTCATTTGTGATGATTGTATCCATGTCRCATTCTAGCTCCTCGCCATGAAACGAGTCAAGTTCGAGATCACTAGGAAACTTTTCATGTAGCCTCAACAGCTGATTGCAACTGCGCTGTTGCTGCTGTTGTTGCTGCTGCTGTTGATGGTGATGCAAGCTAGCATTTATGTTCACTGTTGAAAAGTTAGTGTTGGCAGGCACTGCAGTACTGACAAATGACATTAGGTACTGATCATAGCTATCCATTGGGGTGACATCACCCTGGTTCATAGCACAACTCGTTGTACAGTTATTAAACGTTTGTTGGTAMACTGACATTGGGTTCTGCGGCGTATGTTGTGTGTGATGATGAACTTCCATCTCATTATCACGTGCATACGATATCATGGAATTGTCGTGGTTTGATATATCTTGACCGTAAGAAGACTGATATTGTTGCTGCCTTCGACTCAAAGCCAGACCGTTAAAATTTGTCTGCATCTGATGGTTCATATTTGGTGTGCGATGTTGGACAGGTTGGAGATAGCCACTCGAATCRTAACCAGTGTCGTATCCATTCACAGGGCTCAAAGTCGAAGTCGAGCAAACTTGTTCTTGGGAGCGCTCGCTCGTTGGGCTCAGATGGTTCGACACTGGCGACAAACTGCTCCTTACCCGCCGACTTTGGAGTTTTAAATTCATAGAATCAGCCATCATCGTAGTTATTTCGTCAGCGCCAGGATTTGGTGTACTAACAATGTTAGTATGCATAGGGGTAATGTTATTAATTTCATCATCATCTTGCGATGGAATGGGCGATAGTCTACCGATGCTGCTAACAGTAGAAGCGTTGGAYGATGTACGTGGACGACCAAAACTGTCGTTCAAGGGGAAAGGAAGCGGTGAATCGTGCTCAYATTCGACTAGCTCAGGAACAGTGAGCAACGAGTCAGAGCTGGAGCTCGTTGGTGACACATTTCCAGGCGAACTAGAGCGATTTAGTTCGCGATTCCGAACTGATAGCCTCGGACTTCCAGGTCTTTCGCTATCTTCTCTCAATTTATCYTTCTTTCTTCCCCTCTTTTTTTGTTCAGTACCCTTTTGTCCTGTCTCGTTGAGGGATTTAGAGCGTCCACGGCTTGTTTTGTTCCCTTTAGCATCAGGGTTTATAACCCACCACGAACTTTTACCGTTTCCCTCGTTCTGGACTCGAACGAACTTGCTATGTAGACTCAAATTATGACGAATCGAGTTCTGGAAAAAAATGCACAAAAAAACAATGACATTACACCAAAACTATACATTATACTAGTCTGCACTTGTAAAAGTCAAATAAGTGAAGTCAATGTCATGTGTTCGCGGATATCACGCTAACTYCAACACGAATACACATACCTTCCAACCGGCGCTGCTGTTACTATCCCCCTTGTCGCGAAAATACGGAACGCTGTTCACCATCCAGTCGTAGATTTGCGAAAGAGTCAGGCGTTTTTCTGGAGAACTCTGGATTGCTTGAGTTATAAGATCTGCGTACGAGAAGTTTCCCCATGCATTTTTTCTAGAGCTTTTCTTCGGTCCTTCCGAAAGTTGCTTGAGAGCCTGTTCGGTATCTTGGGGCTCAGGTTTTGGTGGAATAAATTCAGAAGGCTCTGGAAGCGGCCATGTGTTTGAGCGCGGACGATTGTCTCGTCCTTCCATGAGTTCTGGCTCTACCATCACAAAATCCGACAATGAGAGCACCTGATGTTAAGAAATCACAGCCACAACTGTCGTTATTACATAGAACTGTCTTACTTTCTTCGCTTATTCGAAGGTGAAAAATATTCTATGTGCGGGTCGACTTGATCGGAAATTAGCTCTCCCGTGACGTCATTTGTTGTCAGGGGCAATGTGAAGTTGGCTTTTGATTGGTCGAGAGTTGACAGTCGACTCCACCTTAAAAAATTGACCAATCAGGAAAAGAATACTTACGATACCTTGGCTGTAAATTGACGAGCCAATAGGATAAGCATAAAACATGTCAGAATGTTGTATGATCGCCCCCGCTCCATCAAACATTTTGTTGTCATTTTTTTGCTGTTAAGCTATATATTGTTATGTATTATTATCCGTTATAGAACTTGATTACGAGCCAAGACGACATCACGCAACTACACCATTGTTCTCGCTAATTAAGAGCTAAATAGATCGAGTAAATTCACAGGTTTTTGATGCACAAAAAAAATACTGATATAAATTAATACTTTACTTCCTTAACCTATTTCCGGTTTTTTGTCAACCGGAAGTGTGTCGAACGGTGACGAATGCAGGGAGACATGTTCAAATAATTTTGTACAAATTTGTTCAAACTTCGTGAATCATTTAATGATGTCGCGAATGGTGTTAACATCAATGCCCGTCGCATGGCTTTTAATAAGAACAATCATTTCAATTGCTCACTTGTTAGTGGGCGAATTTGCAGGTGGTCGAACAGAATTGTAGTGGGGAACCTGTTAGTTATTTTTTTTAATTTGGCAAATGATTCATTTCTTGGCACTTTTGTTAACTAAAGAGCTCTCGTCTACCAGGATGGCACGATTGAGTGCCATTCGACGAATACTAATTCTAACATATCTTATGCATTCAATTCAATAACTTCAATATRATTATATAGCCACAACACTCATATCACGAAAAAAGGACTTTCTAGAAATTCAAAATCAGCGAAGTTGTGTTTTTTTTCTTTTTCTTTTCACCAGAACATTCAATAAATATTTTTAATGTCCATTTTGTTGCCTTGTAACGACATAGCCATTATAGTAGATCAATATTCATACCTGAGTGACATACATGATCTAGTTACATACCATAATATGTTCTGTCTTTTGAKCCCGTTTCAAAAGGAAAATTGTCGCGAATCATGGCTTTAATGTTCAATAGATATAACCCGGGTAATTTCATTGAGAAATATTTCATACTAGTCTGTTATGTCTATTTGATACTGCATTTACATGCATTTAGGTACCAGTGGCAAGGACGCCCTCCACAACACGCAGCGAAGGTCAACTAGACATCATGCTTTCATCTAATGCACGGCCACGTCGCTAAATTTTGAGCACGATGCAAAGGACTAGTATTCTCACTAGCTTTTACGGCATGATTTGGCTTGTTTTTCCTAATATTACATTTTATCACTAGTATGACGAGAAGATTTCAAAGCCTGGTATAAGGCGACTCGCGGTTATTGCAAAGTCTGTTTCCCCTTGCTTGCCTTTGTTAAATTTCAATCCCCTGCAGATCGCAAAAAAAACATAAAAGGTCGAAGAAATAAGTACCAAAAGCCATTTCCAAAAAAATGATTAATATTTTCCCGAGCATCAAATATCGCGCGCTATATTCTGATTACTCGTTTCACGGACGACATAGGGCTGAGTCACGAAAAGCCGAAACAGCTAGACAAATTAGCAGCCTAAATTTCCATAAATTGGATGTACATATCGATGTATCCGTTTTCTGTACATTTGACAATAAATTATGACGAATATCGCGCGACTATCAACAGGCATCAAGGGAGAATGTATATTTTGATTTATCAAGATAGACAGCAATGACGTCACTTGTACCACGCATTTTCGCGGGGGTTTATACTGAAACTGACTTAGACGTAGTGTCCRTACAAAGTGAATAATGTCTTTTTTGCAATGAAAGTGTCATCTCAAGGCGGTAGTTTTCTGATGATACCATTGACAGGCCAATGATTTGGGTGCTTTGCTTGTGTTTTCAGCCGTTTTTGTGGCACTCTCAAATTTATCCATATGCATATCGCAAAAAGTAATTTAACACAAATGACTAAAGGAAAGCATTTTCGCGTAAGCTAGCGATAAAAAGAATAAGCTCGCCTAAGTGTCTTCAATTTAGATCACTAAGAGGTCGCTCAATTTATCGAAAATTAAATGTAACAAAAAATAAGATAATAGTTGCTTAAAGTACTCCAGTGATTCCTAATAGGATAATTCAAATGGTTTTTAAAATCCACTGCTTTACAAATGGCACTCAGCACTAGCCGCGCACGCGTATTGGGAATTTTTTCCCGCCAAAACTCTCCTGACACAAAGAGCACATGGCGGGCCTTGCGTACGTGCAAACCCGTTCAGTTCCGGAAGTTCCATTTCAATTGGAAACCTGTTCAAAAAATTTAATAAGCGTATTGTACTATTGTTCCCATGGCGTCCACCTTGAATACAAGCTTAACGGGTCAAACTTTTGTTTTAAATATAAATGTCATTATCAGTCGTTTATTTTTACCAAGCCAAGAGGGAGTTTTTTCAATGTATATTTTGAGAACCAGTTGTATTATTCTTTGATTCAATGTAGTCTATACAATAGTGCGACACAATTGAAGGTCATCCAATGTTACTTCTTATCAAAGTCAAGGTTACAAGTTCCAACACTTTGTTATGATTCTTAATATGATTTTTTTTGAGAAGATATTCTTATCAAATGAAGTCGATTGGTGTGGAAGTAGTGGAATCGATGTTCCTATCTTATGGATCGGAAATTGAGTTCAAAAACATTTCCAAAAGGCAGGAAGGAAACTTATGTTTTATCGATGAACTCGGAACTGAATGGAGTACACACAGAATACCCATAATATATGCTATCTTGATTATCATTCCTTTTAGTAGCTACAATAGGATGTGTGTGATGATCGTGAATGACTAAACAAAACAGTTTATTATCCCACGCTTTGACAGTGAAGGAATTCAAATTCCACGTGCTCTTTTAACCCATCACAAAGCTGTCAAATCAATGTCAATTTGAATATGAACGTACGTGATGTACAGTGTACGCTATAAATTATCTTAAACGACGCGTAATTGTTCAAAATGATCTATTAATATCGTTTTTGTCACACGCAACGACACGTAACCCATTTCATCTAGACTTCATCACATCGTGACCACTGCGGTGTGTGAAGTGGAGACAGTTGAACCCGCCACCCTTCCATAATAGGCAACGCGTCTGGATATGACGTCACTCATGACGCAATAAGAGCATATGCTGCTTTAGAGCTGAGAGATTAACATTAAATTCAGTATAATCGGTTTAAAATCTTGGGATATCTGAGTAGTAACGTAAGCGTAGGAGTATTCTTTAATGTACTTCGGTTGATTTTAGAGAAGCAATATTTTGCATGTCTACCTAAGAATGTGCTGTCTTCCTCTTTTCGAGTATAAGACTGTAGTCAGACATTAGTGATCAGTCTTATCAAAATATCGCTGGAATGCTTTTGTTTTTCGAGTATAGCATCAATCCTATGTATCAGTTAGTGCTCACAAGAAAACTCTCAACATTTTTAACTTTGATAATTTTACCAGTGCAGTCACACCATTTTGTCAAGCAAGTAATCGACAGCAAAATGTAGTCTAATTACCCTACAAAACCTACTGCATTTTCCTTGAAAAGATGCAAGTAGTCGTTTATCCGTTTTTGTAAATGAAAAAGAAAAAAAGGGGGATTATTATTTTAGACAAAAAAGTAAAAAGACTACATCAGCCATCATGCTTGTTGTGCAAAATGGCGACGTCTTCACATGCCTTATTGAAGAGATCGGAGATTAATCTAAAAGTCTATAATCCAGTAAGTCGTCAGAAGAAACGTAACATATTGCTGAATACCTTGGGAGTGGGCGCGCACTCTGGTGGATTGATCGATGTGCAAGAAATAAACWGAAGGCTTTTACATTTCTTTTTATAGTTTTTATTTATAGTTTATTGTTTCCTATAATTAGCTTAAAACCATTTATTAGGGAGTGTTAGCTGGTGGAAGCAGCACTTAAGGCTGGTCAAATTGATAAGTGAGGAAAATCATTTAATATCACTACTTAATATAGCACGATATGATATAATAGAGCTGTAGTGTTATGAAATACAAAAAAAATTAGTCATTACGAATTAACCGCCTAGCAATTCAACAAAAAACTCACTCTGAAAAAAAAATAAAGCATTGTTCACCATAAAGAAAATTCTTTTTCCGTTGCCCTAAACGCTATCATATGTACTCTGGCTGATTTAACATTTGCTTGCGTTTGCGCGTGATGTCTTTGTGTGTGATTTTCCCTGGGGAAGGTTAAGTTTCGGAATGAACGGGATAAAAAGCAAGCGGATTCTGAGGCTGGTTTGTATTGCCAGAGAGTTGTCGAGAGTCTGTCCTCTCTGCGAAGTGTGCTAGTCTGTTACACATTTAAATTTTTCTTAGGTTATAGCTATCCCCTTTGGGCGATATGTTCTGTATCCGGTCACTGAAACGATATATGGTGTTGGGCAGTGGGGTGCTCCAATGAAGAATTAAAGCAGTACTTTTCGATCTAAACGAATCTGATATACGAAACAAAAAACAAAACAAAAACAAAAACAAAAACAAAAACAAAAACAAAAAACACAAAAAAAAATCTTTGAAACTTCAAAAATATCAAATATTTGTTGAGAAATATTTCTCTGATATTTATATGTGTGCATATTAAAACGTAGTGGAGCAGTCAAACTAAAATTGATAAAAAATATTAATAAATTTTATCCCAAAACTTTATCCCGAAGCGAAGGGTTATAATTTTCTTCACTGCGGCAAGCTTATCCAAGTGGGAGTTTGAAGTATTTTGAGTTTGCACTCAAAGCAGTACTAACTCTCATTAAGAATCTCGGAAACTAGGACAATCGATTACAAGAATCTCATGACGTGTGATTCAAAGCGGAGTTCCTGCTTGAATATCGCATTCACAGCCGGCGTTCAGTATCCAAAGGGGTGCGAAAGAATAACGCTGAGGGTGGTGGCTTGGGTAGGTCTAGTCACGTTCTTATGTTCTTCTTTTGGGAACGTTCAAATCTCAGCAGTTGTCAACAATTACAACGAAATTATGGAATGCCCAATAGGCCAAAGAAAATATTATTTGTATGTGCTGAAGAATCTTTTTTTATTATTATTATTTATTTATTTCTTCCTCTCTAAACGTTTTATGCTTCAAGATATAATTGTTATAATAAGATATAATATATCCAAACAGTTCAAGATTGCGACCGTAATCGTATAATGAGTGGTGCTGAAGGTTGGTTAACGCATGATTACGCAGCGTACAACTTCGAGAAGAGAAGCGTGTGCTCACGAGCAACTGTCAATCAGTTTCATGGTGACTCTAGGGGGGAGGGTAGGGGGGATTGGGAAGGGAGTAGCCTGAAGCAGTGAGTAAGAATTCTGGCCAGAGGAATCTTTTTAAAAGTTTGACAATACAAAGTTATATCAAAATATAGAATAAGTGAAATGAGAATCTGATTTCTTATTCCTTTATTTATTTATTTTGAACGATGTATATTATTTGTGTTTGCTATGCATGCTATTTACATTATGATTTGTTTTCATTCCGCAATTAAACAACATTGAGAGGTAGTCAAAAATCTAAATCTACAGTTTCTTTAAAGATACATGCACAAAAGAATAAAAACGACTTTAATACATTTATCTTTAATAAAATTATGCTTTTCCTTTTACTAAATATTTTTCTTGGCTATTATAATTCTTTCATGGACGTGAAATACTCAAAAGATAGTAGATATACTATCCAGACGCACGCATGCGTATCACCGCACACGCTCCTCTGTTAAACACACTTGATACAAACACTTTAATCTGACCGTTTGCCCTTTTTAGGTAGAATTTGAATTCAAATAGTGTTGTCGATATCGTCAAAACCACTTATGGAGACTTTAAGCGTCATCACCTTGACTATCAATTCACTTGTACTGATGCATACATCATTGACTACATAGTCAAGTGTTTCACGGTCTCTAGGTTTTATAATAACTTCTATTTTTGGGTAGACCGCACACAGCATGCCCAAAAGAAAGACATATTTGGTTAAAATAGCATTGTTGACTTCAAGCATATCGTTCGCGCGATAAAGACTTACGTACTTGATGACGAAAAACTTCTTAGTTCTACGGATGTTGACTGATAAATAAATACATCTGAAGAGATACTTTATGGATTTTTTAATGATAAAATGTAAACAAAATGCGTACAAGTGATTGCTTTATCTCTCAGCAGATCGTGCAAAATAAGCCGAACTAAGGGGCTAACTGCAACTGACGGGCGTTACGTTTAGTCAGTGTAGTTGTTAGCGTAAGAAAATTCAGGTTTCGGTTTACCGTGCATAGGAAGTCCAAACGCAACGTACTTTTACGCAAGACATACCAAATATAAAAAATTATACAAGTTCTCAATTAAACTTTCTAATATATTTAACAACAAATCATCAGAGATTCAAATTATGTGAATCTTTTTTCAAAAAAATTATTATTTTAACTTTGACTAGATGTTTAGTATGTTAGATTGACGTATTTTTACGCCATGAAGTC